ATTATAAAAAATTATAATTGTACTTATAAAAAGAATTTTAATAAGTTTATTATTAACTTTAGTCTAACAAAAGATATTTATAAGAAAGAAATAAAATAAGTATATAGAAGGTAATTATATAAGAAATCAATTATATACAATATAAATAAAAAAAAAAATTAATTAATATTAAAATTAAATATACAGTGATGTGTAAAAAAATGACAATTTTTATTGCAGCAAATTATTATTATGTTACTTTTTCAATTTTTAATCATATATATATGAATAAATATGTAAATAAAAGCCTTATAATTAAGATATTATTTTCAAAATAAAACTTTCTCTATACCTTAATAAAAATTTAACTTATTAAGCTTTAAAGTAATTTCATCAAGGCAAAAAAACTTAATATCAATCAAATTATATTTATAAAATAGAAAATGTACAATATTACTAAAATACACATATTCATAAGAATTTTATATAAAACTATCACTAAATCTTAAAAAATTGAAAATTAAATATAAAAATCATGTAAAAATGCTTTAACAAGATAAAATTTTAGTTATTTTATTAAATAATTTAGTTTTTTACTAAGTAATTTTTCAAAAATAATATCTTAAAGATTATGGATTAGTTCTTTAATAATCTAAGCCTAAAGCTCATTAAAAATTATTAGGTAATTATTAAAAGAAATATAGAATTTTATAGGTTAAAAATCTTAGTAAATCAAAAGTTTATAAATGATAAGTAAAAAAATATCAAATAACCTTGTAATTAGTTTATAGATTTGATATCATGACATTGTAGAAAGATTATTGATAAAAATGATATATAAATATTATATAATTTTTTTAAATAAAATCTACTACTTCTTAGCTTTAAAATAATATATTATATGTTTTAATTAGTATAATGGTTATATAAATATTATAATTTTAAAAATTGTTACTTTTTTTTTTATATACTACTGTATTTTAGTTTAAAAATTTTATTTTATATACAAAGAATTTTTTTATTTTTTATTATAAAACATTTATATTAATAATAACTTGTAAATTTATTTTATTATTATATATCTATTATTTTTAATAAATAAATTTTAATTTATATAATAATAAAAATTTATTTATATAATTCTAAATTTATGAATAATTTACTTAAATGAATATATAAAATATTTTTATTTAATAGATTTTTAATTTTTAATTTTTATTTTTTTAATTTTTAAATAATTTAAATATTATTAAATTTATTTAAAAATTATGTAATTTTATTTATATTATATAATTTATATAAAAAAAATATTAACTTATAAATTTAAATAATTTTTTTAACATTTTATTTAAATAAAATAAAAGCTAAACAATTAAATTTATAATTTGCATATATTTTTTATTAGTTAACCAAAAAAAAAAAAAAAAGATTATCAATATTATAGTTTAAAAATATATTACATCGATTTATTTAAATACAGTTATTTTTTTTTTTTTTAAAAAAAAAAAATATATCTATATAGATATATTATATCACATCCTATTCATACATACAGTATTACAAAATCAAAACAATATTTCGATTCATTCCATTCTTTTAAAGAGCTTCATTAAAACTCTTTTTTTATTCACTATTTAATCGTTCAATTTCAGCCTTTTTATTTATTCATTTTCTTTTATTAAGAACTACCATTCCCATCATGAAGACGATGATGACTCGTTTGTGAGGTATGTATTAAACCAGCGGAAGTAGAATATAATGATAAATCATCCATAACATGATGAGGAGCAGATGAATTGGTTGTATTAACATTATTAACATTACCCTGATTTACGTCAAACACGTAATCATCATAGTAAGATTCCCATTGAGAGTTACCAGATTGTGATGAAATATCATGAGCGGGTTGGCTACTTCCATTATATGACGATGAAAGCTGGTGATATTGTTGTAGTGAAGTAGCTGCTGGCGTTGTTGTATGATCTTGTGACGATGTATTAAAGATTGTATTGGAAGTTGGCGACGACATCATAAA